GACTCTACTGAGTGAACTAAACAGGTGGTTGATGTGGGCATCCAATGTGAGATGGTAGTCTGACTCTACTGAGTGAACTAAACAGGTGGTTGATGTGGGCATCCAATGTGAGATGGTAGTCTGACTCTACGGAGTGAGCTAAACAGGTGGTTGATTTGGGCATCCAATGTGTGGTGGCAGTCTGACTCTACTGAGTGAGCTAAACAGGTGGTTGATGTGGGCATCCAATGTGAGATGGTAGTCTAACTCTACTGAGTGAACTAAATAGGTGGTTGATGTGGGCATCCAATGTGTGGTGGCAGTCTGACTCTACTGAGTGAACTAAACAGGTGGTTGATGTGGGCATCCAATGTGAGATGGTAGTCTGACTCTACTGAGTGAACTAAACAGGTGGTTGATGTGGGCATCCAATGTGAGATGGTAGTCTGACTCTACTGAGTGAACTAAACAGGTGGTTGATTTGGGCATCCAATGTGTGGTGGCAGTCTGACTCTACTGAATGAACTAAAGGTGGTTGATGTGGGCATTCAATGTGTGGTGGCAGTCTGACTCCACTGAAGGAATTAAACAGGTGGTTGATGTGGGCATTCAATGTGAGATGGTAGTCTGACTCTACTGAGTGAGCTAAACAGGTGGTTGATGTGGGCATCCAATGTGAGATGGTAGTCTGACTCTACTGAGTGAACTAAAGGTGGTTGATTTGGGCATCCAATGTGTGGTGGCAGTCTGACTCACTGAAGGAATTAAACAGGTGGTTGATGTGGGCATTCAATGTGTGGTGGCAGTCTGACTCTACTGAAGGAATTAAACAGGTGGTTGATGTGGGCATTCAATGTGTGGTGGCAGTCTGACTGAATTTAACAGTGATGAAATGTCCAAATCTGGATACATGAATAATCTTTCATTTCATTCCACTCCATTTTCAGGGTATATTTTCCTTATCACACAAACTAACATCAAAAGTGCATTAAATTCCACAAAAATATCTGCATAACAAGGCATATATAAGGATATACAGTGGCCAAAAAGTAGCAATGAGTTGTGAACAAAAATATAAACACATGGCAAATTGAAAACCTCAACAGGCGATGGTGTTAAAAATGTATCAAACCTTATCACAGTATGCCTTTTTGTATGCATTATGTTCATATGGATGTTTATACACTACTGGGTCCCAACTCATGTTGAAGACACCCACACAGTCAGACTAAATATTGGTGTTCTCCAGAGTCAAACTCTAACTATCCGGTGTACGGTAAACAAGACAAAATAAAACTTGCATGCTGCCATCATATTGATGATTTTTAATAACGATGACAGGTTGGGGAGAGAAATACAAATCTTCCAACTGCCATGGGAGAAACCATCAAAGATATAGTCTAGTGAGCAAAGACAGCTCTGTAGACTTTACAAGGCAAACAATGTTCAGTCATCCAATGGTTCTTAGCATACATAAATCAATCAAGACTATTTATGTGTACCAGAAATTAAGATCTTTCTTTTTAATTATCTGCCATGGCCTAACATAATCAAAATGATTCACAATCTAAAACAGGAAGGTGTCAATCCCTTGGACCTGCACCAATGCATTATGGGATAACCATCTTGTATATTTACAGTTTTATTGTTCTTATTTACTAGATAATTTATAATCTTGTGAAAAAATTCACTAAATTATTCTTCAAATTATGTTCAAAATATTAACTTAAATAAAAATGCAAAATAAAAATTTGGTTTACTAGAATTAGAGAGAATTCCGTTTATGAATCAAACCATTATTTTGTATGTAAAGCGTGTAGTGGAAGGAATACACATTATGTGAAATCCACTTCAAGGTTATTCTATGCAAAAACTGTAATCAGATAAACTGGAGTCATTCTTATGGTTTTATCTCAAGGTTAAGATTAACATAAATCTTTTGTCAAATGTATATAATTTGCATATATTATTTGTTTTGTGTTCATTTGCATACAATTTGCATATATTATTTGTTTTGTGTATCATTTGCCTACAATTTGCATAGATTATTTGTTTTGTGTACATTTGCATACAATTTGCATATATTATGGATCACATACATCATTAGTGTCATAAGTTACATGGGTTATTGTTGTCTAAATGAAGAGTTGTTGTTGGCAAATGGACTGAGAGGTTATGGGATCACTCTCAGTAATGAATTTTAAAAATCACGTTTTCCATCATCCTAGTCTTCTTTTATTTTAATTTGTTGATTATTAATAACCTCTCAGCTTATATCACAGAGAAGGAAACCAACCATTTAAAAGTTGCAATTTAATTTCACACATGATTAATGCACGATGTCAGTTTACCAAATTGACATATTTCTCATCATTAGTGGACATATAAACTACCTTGTGACGTAATAAAATCCGATTTCAAGTTGTGATTGTTTTTCCATTTAGTCTGCATAGATTTAAGTTTGCCGTGAGTGAGTCTAGCTTTCCACCACCTGAGTCTGTTTTTTTCGCTTTGAGACATAATCTTTTTTTAAATCCTCCTTAATAAAAATGTTGTCCATATGAATACAAGACTACGACTTAAACTGAACATCAGAGATAAT